GAGTGCCCAAAGGAGGGCGATGAAGATGGTGAAGGGCTTTGAGAGGAAGCTGTATGAGGAGCAGCTGAGGTCACTTGGTGTGTTCAGCCTGGAGAAGAGGAGACTGAGGGGAGACCTCATTGCAGTCACATCTTCCTCATGAGGGGAAGAGGAGGGGCAGGCACTGATCTCTTCTGTGTGGTGACCAGTGACAGGACCTGAGGTAATGGCCTGCAGTTGTGTCAGGAGAGGTTTACACTGGACATTACAAAAAGGTTCTTCATCCAGAGGATGGTTGGGCACTGGAACATGCTCCCCAGGAAAGTAGTCACAGCACCAAGCCTGCCAGAGTTCAAGAAGTGTTTGGATGATACTCTCAGGCACATGGTGTGACTCTCAGGAGTGGTCCTGTGCAGGGCCAGGAGTTGGACTCGATGATCCTTGTGGGTCACTTGCAATTCAGCATATTCTGTGATTCTGCTGGAAGAGCTTAACAAGCTGTCTACACTGCCACCTTACAGGCAGCTGCACAGTCCCATGGCCTGAGCTAGGCTTTTAGATGAACAATGGGCCTTTCTAACTATGGCCATGTTATCAGGAGCCAGTGCCACAGCTGAGTCAAACAGCTGAAATATATTGCTGAAGCCACATTGCAGAAATAACTGAGTTGGAGGCAAAATGTGCCACCAGGAACAGGCTCGAGCCAAGAAGTCAGAGGCACAAATGTGTTCCACACAGCTGAGTCACAGGACAGAGCATAGACAGCCCATAGAGAATGCACAACCTTCCCACTGAATACTCCAGTCACTGCTGCAGCAGTCCCAACACCATGTAAGCACCTCCATTGCTGGATTTCCGAAGCAGAGTTGAAAAGCCAGAAAACAGGTTACTTGGAGTGGTTTCTCCTACGGTTTTGCCTTATTCAGGGAGCAGGACAGAGACTTCAGATGCTATCTTCAGAATCAACCAGGTGAGTGCAGGGTTTTGTTTCTCGGTCCTAGGAGCACATTTGCATAGTACCATTTCAATCCTATCTGGACAGTGGTTATCAATGAACTCCATTATAGCAGTAATACCAGTAATACCTCAGTTTGCAAAAGCAATATGTTACATAAATTCCTGGGAGCTCGAAGAGAAGGGGGTGAAAGGAATGCCACAATGTAAAGCACAAAGCGGCAAGGGCTTTTCCACTCTACGCACCACTACAGTATGCAAATGCAAGCAAGCACCTTTGCAATTCAAACCCACTCACTGTACAGAGACATCTCTACTTCACTCAAAGTCACCTCCATTGACCTTAATGAATCTGGGCTAAACTCTGACCAATATAGCACAGTTACACAGCAACTGTGGACCAGGAACAACTTTCAATCCATGGAGTTACTTCTGATTTACATCAGTAGCTTCCACAATATGCAGAACAGTTACATTCAAATCTGACTCGACTACTTTTTTCCCTCACATTTTTCTCCCTCCTTCATGAATTCTGAACACCAGTGGAAGTGTTTTGCTCTGGCTACTGAAGCAGAGGTATGGGTGGTGCTGAGGGTTATTTTGGGGTCTGAGAGGTATGCAGACACTATCTTCTGCAACTGATAACATTCATAAACATTGCTGACTATTTTCCCCTAACAATAAAAGGGTAGAGATAACACTGTTTTGCTTGCTGGTGCACAGGCTGCTGTTTCATTGCATTTTTACTAGCTTAGGTCTGTTTTATCACTGCCACCATAACAGTGCTCCTGTTGCTGTCAAAGAAGCAGGTGTACCTATGACTCTGTAAAACAGCTGTTTTCTCACCTCAGTGCCAGACACAAAAGAGGCAGGGAAAACACGGGAGGAGGATGGAGAGGAGTTACTGTGAATTTCCCACAATAAAGGGGAAGTTCAGCTAATAGCCTGCTTGGAGTTGCAGATGAATTATTTGTACCCAAAGCAAGTGGAAAAATATTGTTCCTTGCTTGGTAACCACCTGTTTTCAGCACCACACGTGCTGCACTGTTAGGTTCTCCTTAAGCTGCAAACCTCTGTGAAAAGTTTACCCAGCCTCAGCTTGCTCGGGCATGCTTCCAGGTAAAGGTTAACCCCTTTGGCCTGCTAGCGTAACTAATTTCAACTAATTACTTTCAACCCATACCAATCCAAAGAGGACAAAACCAAAAGTCATTAAAAGTAATGGCTTTTAACAATATGGCCATCACATGTAGGTCCTGTGCTAGGAAAAAATTAAGAGCACCTGAGATGCACTTTGGGAGTGCAGCCCTAATTGTAAAGAACATGCAATCTTAGCTTTTTACCTAGGCTAATGAAGCTAGGTATGGATATGACTCATGACAAATCCATGTAATGCCATTATGAAACACTCAACATCCCAATACTCTCAACCAGCAAGAAAGAATCCTGTATTATTATGTGCAATCCTAAATCCGGCAGATTAGTGGGATTTGGGGAGACCTCCAGGCCTTAGGATGCTGGCCCCATTACCTGTGAGGTGAATGTCCTTCCCCCCACCCCAGCACGTGGCCCGGCGACCCCGCAAGGAGCACACACAGACCACCTGGGAGGGTCGGACGAAAGAGGAAGTTTATTGTGGGGTTGGGGTTTATAAGGCTTTCAGGAGGGTCAAAGGGGGCCAATCACAAGTTCAGGGTCACACAGAAAAAAACATCAGGTAAAGGGTCAACAGCCAATAGGAAGGGGTTAGCAAAGGACCAATGAGAGACACCTCAGGACACCTTCCCAGGACACCTTGTGTGGGAGACAATAGCTTCACAGGGGGTGTCTGGAAGAGGGAGACAGTGACACTGCAGAAAATACACAAACATGTTGAAACATGTTTAAACTACAGTAAAAACTTCTGTTTCCATAAGGGTAGAGCTGTTTTCCTCACCAGTCCATCTCTGACAGGACTTTTTCCATCCTGCATATGGCAAATCCATTGCCACACCTAAATTATTACAATTTATGCACAGTAATACTACTTTTGGTTGGAAGTATTTTAGATAAATAAAAGAGCATGTTACAATGAGACATAACAACAATTTGAAATTTGACATTTCTGTGCATCAGCACAAGAAATCAAATGTCATGATTTGAAGAGATTGCTATGGATAGTCATATATTTCACAGAGAATGTTGTCAACAAGTGCTCTTTATAGAGAGGCTCTTTGTCACAGTCAAGATGACTCACTATGTTATATACTACTGCTTAGCACATAGCTATGCAAAAAAAAAAAAAATTCAACCCAAACTAAAAAGCCAAAACTATGCTGCTCTCACCATTACTTTAGTTTGTCTAGTTTTCCTCATACGATTTATTTATTTATAGGAAACTCTCCAGAAGGATATTCCTGAAGCTTTTCTAATCTATTTTACATTAGTGCAATCATCTTACTCCCTCTGTCATGGTTTTCATTTTAAGCCAGAAGGTATGTCTCCCAGTTCTGCCTTAAAACCAACACAAAACAGGGAAATCTCATTTCTGTATGTACAAACATGTAAGTCTCATAGGAAAGAAGACATCTGCAATGCTATGGCATACAAACCATTTTATTTTACTTGTTCCTTTATAACTGTGTTTAAAAAGATAGAGAATAGATTTTTTTCTCAAACTGTGCTATGTAATAAAACAGTTTTCGTATATAGGTTTCATTTAATTTCCATGAACAAAGGTAATAATCACAGCAAACTACAAAAGCCTCCATCAGTGTCACAGGCAGACATTTTCTCACCAATAAAAACCTTGTTACATGATATGCAAATTTCTCACCAGTAATTTGGATTATTTTAAACAAAATCTTGTGCTTACAGTGTATGAAAATACATGCATATGGTTAACTTCTCTATATTTACCTAATCTACAAGAGAAAGGCTACAAAACTGTCCACAAACCTTATTGTTAACAGCAGAACAAGATGTTAACTACTCAACTACTAGGAACTAAAGTATGTAATGTAGAAGCTTAATTTCACATAAAAAATAAATTTTCTTTTCTTGAAGGATATCTCAGTTCAAAGAAAAACAGGAGTCAAATGAAATCAAATTTGGGGAAAGATCAAAATTTAAAGTGCCTGCAATTATTCTGTATGTTGTTAATTTAACTTTCTTTAGTGACACCAGTAATTATTAAGGATCATAAATTATTAGAAACAGCTTATGAAGTAGCATTCAAACCGCACCTGAACAAGACTTTAAAAACTCATAAAAATTTTTGCCAAATTCAGAGAAGATTGCATATGTAGCATGTCCTTACTGAAAGGAAGGTACTCAGCACTTCTAAGAAACCAGACCACACTGAACAGAGCAAGTCATCTTGGTTTTGAAATACATTAAATACATTTTTCCAAAATCTTCTTTGTCATTTCCCAGCATATGTAATTTGCAAAGTTACGTGGCACTGTACTTCAGCTTCTGAACTCCAAAACTCAGTATGACTTTGATTTCTCTCATTGGCATGATTCTACTGCTACAATTTCCATACCATCACCTTGACAGTGAAACAAGCTGAGATGGCAAAGCAGTAAAGGTGCGCAACCTGTAATCAGCTTGTAAGAGGTAAGCGTTGTCACAGACTAAAGTCCTGAAGAGAATTTTATAGTGTAGTATAAACTATTATATTATACTTAAAATACAGGACTTGATTTTCATAAATTTTGAAACCCCCTCAACAAAATGTCAAGTACTAGTCTCAATTTTTAGAAACTAAACTGAAACTAGACAAATGTGAATATTGGATTCACATATCACTTCATATTGTAATTAACAGCTCCTTTAATTGAAAATGTCACAATTACTCTCCCTCTCCATAAGTGATAAGTCTCAAACCTTCAGTTGAAGTGTGACCTTTTCAATTTTCTTCCTACCTTCATTTTTAATGACAACATGAAAAACAGAAGTTCTATACATTAAACTTTCTCTAACATAATTTTGTTAGAACTGGAAAACAATCCTCATTCAAATATCCAGTTAAGAATTTAATTATGAAATTCTATTGAAAATAAATTGAAAAGGCTTGCTCTTACCTTGGTAGGAAGACACTTTCCACTACATAGAAGTCTTGCATAAGAACATCTCTGTCTGGTTTTGATGTAAGGTTTCCTACCGTGTATCCTATTCCCAGCTGGATAGCACCTTTAATAGCTGAGGATGCAGTCTGTGCAGAAAACAAGAATTCAAGCATGAGTTTGATAAAAACAGATTTCTGTTCTTTATCAGTAATATGATATGTTAAACTCTTTAAACATTTTCATAATAACAACATCATGTCATCTTTACCTCCTAGAGCTCAGTGAGATGACTGATTTTCAATTAAAAGATTTAAAAGAATCACTATACTGTAGTAAAATCTACAAAAATCAATTTTCTGGTTGTACAAACTGAAACTTTTCAAATTGCCTCATTAATTTCCACATTGGGTTCTAACTCAGCATAGAATCATGGAATACCAGGTTGGAAGGGACCTCAAGAATCATCTGGTTCAACCTTTCTTGGCAAAAGCAGTCTAGACAAGATGGCCCAGCACCCTGTCAAGCCAAATCTCAAAAATGCTCATGCTGGGCAATTCATCACTTCTGGAGAGATAATTCTATTGGCTGACTGTTCTCACTGTGAAATATTTCCTCTTGTGTTCAACTGGAATGTCCCCAGGAATAACTTTAACCCATTATCTCTCACATTTTCTATGTTACTCCTTGTAAGAATAGTCTCCATCTTCTTTGTAGCCACCCTGTAAATACTGGAACATGGTAGGAAGTATTCCCCTCAGCCCTCGAGGCTGAACAGACCCAGCTCTGTAATAGCTCACACACCAACTTTTCCCTCATTGACACTGGATCTGAGTTTGCATCAACCTGGATTTTTGTTCCCAGGCCCAACAGTGCTGGTGATAACAGAGATGAAGGAAGTGTTGAGAACCTCTGCCTTTTCAGCATTGTTGGTGACTAATTCAACTCGTCTATTTAACAGCAGGTCAATATTTTCCTTCTGTTTTTTATTGTTGTTTATGTTATTTGTTGTTTATGTACCCAAAGAACCCTTTCTTGTGGTTCCTGACATCTCTTGCCAATTTCAATTTGAGCTGAGTCTTTGCTTTTCTAACTGCATCTCTGCATTCCCTGGCAACTCCCTTGTTCTCAACAAGTATTTGTCCCCTTTTCATCTCTGGTATGCTTCTCTTTTGGTTTTGAACAGACTCAGAAGGTCACACTTAAGCCAAGGGGGTCTCTTTCTCCACCTACTTCCCTTCCCTTTATAGAGAATGAACGGGTTTTCTGCTTCCAGGGGAGCGGTCTTGAAAAAGTCCCAGCACTCCCTAGCTCAATGGAAGCTTACCTCCCTTGAGCTCTGAGCAAGCTGAAGTTTGCTCTTCCAAAATCTAAAAACTTTGTATTGTACTAACCTTCAGTGTGCACAGGCAGACCCCAAACTTCACAATATAGGGGTCACTGCAGCCAAAGACATCACTAACTGAGATACTACAAGGCAGGTTTCTTTGTTTTGTGAGTAGCAAGTTCAACAGCTCCTCATTCCTGGTTGGCACATCTACTGTTTTTGTGAGGAATCAGTCCTCTTTGCATCCCAGGAACTTGATGGCTGATGTAATGTGCTGTATTGTTCCACCAACAAATGTCTGGGTAGCTGAAATCACCCATAAGACCCAGGATCTGTAATCTAAAACTTGCTTGACCCCGTTTAGGTGCTTCTCTGCCCTTACCATCTTGGGTTGGAGGTCAGTAGCAGATGCCTAATCTAAGATACCAGTTGGAGATGTACCTTCTGATCTTGACCCAGAGGCATTTGATAGGGCTTCCATAGTCACTGCATTTAACTTTTATATGTTCATGATTCTCTTTAACACAGAGCTCAACTCCTCCTCCTCTACTTTCCTGCCTGTCTTTACAAAACAGCCTATAGCCATTCTTTGTGTTCCTCTTAAGACATTTTCAATCTAATTGGACATTCAAATTCCTTCAGGAGTTAGAAGTAGCATGCATTATGTCCTGGAAAGACACAGTCACAAATTCCAGGTGATTGTACATGCATGCCAAGGCATTACAAAGAAAGCTTATGGCTTAAACGCTGATTCTAGATATATTTATTACATTCTGCCTAACAGTCAATGCAAGAGGTGCATTGACTGGGTGGAATGCAGAGAAAAATGAAAGTGATGAGGAAAGAGAAATCCCTCAATAAAAATCTACCTGCATAAAGTGGAATGACTAAATTCAACAGCCAGGGTTTGCAGGACAGAGAAAGGTTCAAAAGGTCAGCACCAAGTTGTGATACTATATATGTGTAAACTGAGACCATCTCTGAAACTTTCTCATGCTGAATAGAGAACCCTGATGGACAAATTAAAAAAAAAAAAGGCAGAACTGAGTCAAAATCAGAAACTGGTCAAGAAAGGAATTATTAAGAAAAGACCGAAGGAGTGAATAAAGAAAATCATTGGGAAGGGAAAGGCGGCTATGAGGAAGGGAGTATCTTCCCTTACATCATGTATTTTCACCAGTCTGAAGACAACATATTTGGTGTCTGGTTTTAGATTTTAGCTCCTACCCTCCAAACAAGCAAGACATTAACAGTGGAAACAAAGAACACTAGAAGTTTCATGATCAGAACCACTTCAGCACTTGAACAAAACAATTTCAGGAATGGGAATTACATAAGAAATGGTTCAAGTACACAAAGCTACTCTTGTTACAGTTTCTGGAACAGCAAATATTAGAGTGACTGCTTATTTTTAGAAAAGAAAAGACAGAGATGTGTATATCCTAAATAATTAAGACTGCACACCAAGCAGAACTTTTACTTGCATAACAGCTTAGAAAAGGCAACTTGGTGGGAACAAACAACACCCCATTCTTAAAGTGTTACTTTGACTACTAAAACCATTTGGCTTTGTATCATAAGAGGAGTCACATTTTTCTTTCTTTGAAAGGCTTCTATTCATGAATGATTAATGCATAACAAAATCCGTAATTTTGTAACTTTGATCAAACCAATACACATAGTTTCTGCTTCATAACTGGATGCCCATCTTGTTCACTGCCATAGCAAGCGACTATGTCTGAAAGAACGGCATATAGTAAAGTACAATAGAGGACATGCCATTCCAAATAAACCCTAACAAAACCCACTGAACTTCAAAAAAACCCCAAGACAGGTAAGCTGGCAACATGATTTCAAAAGGAAAACTCTAGACCATCTTTCGAGCTCATAAAAAATATCTGTAGGATTTTTTTTTTCAAATTTAAAAGAAAACCTACAGACCTATAGTCTCTGGAAGGCAGAATGTAAGGCCTTCTACTAGTATGACACAGACTCTACCTCCAAGGTTACTGTCTTGTTAATTTCCACTCCTATTCAAGAGTGCCATTAATAATCACCCACCATTTCTACAGCAATCACAGCAGTCAGTTTAACAGAAAAGCAATGTTATGAAATCATTTAGGATACTTTAACAACTGCTTTAAAACAAATTGATGGCAGTTACAGCATGCTGAAGCCAATTGCAAACCAATTGTTTGTCAATCACTGTTATATAATTAAATATCCTGTAAACTGCAATTCTTGCAGCCATGCAAACTGAGAAATTGCCCATTCCCTGTACTACTGTCCCAGAATGCTAATATTTCAAAGTAGGTAAGGACATTTCTCTTCCATCTTAAATGGGAACAGATCAGCAAAGGTAAAAGAGCTGCATTTCAGGAAGAGATGTACTGGGGACAAAGTGCTCCACAAGTCCCACAGTTTATGGAGGATTGAAAAAAGAAAGGCTCTGCACAGTTTTATCCTTGCATAAAAAAGCTTAAACTGTCCTTGTTATGATGAAACACATCTTTGTCTATTTTTGTCAAAAGTAACTATATATTTTCTCTATATTTGTCATACAGCTTTGCTAAAAAAGCCTGTAGGAATGAAACATTATATGCAGACACATAAAGCATAACAACAGGTTACAGGATGAAACAGTATATAATATAGAATATATATAGTATAATAGTATATAGAATATAATATAGAACACAGACAGGTATATGGAATATTTGCATCACTGACATATATTCTAGCACAAGATGCGCTGTTCTCCTGAATTACTGTTATCTGCAGATGGGTCTTCCATCTTGCTCTACATCACTCTAAGCTGAAATCCTTTCTTGGAATAGCAAACTAAATGAGAATATAAATCCTTTCATATCATGTATTAAGTTTGCACATGATCCCACAAATGTACTAAGTAGGATTTCAACACTGCTTTTCCTACAAATAATTGCTTTCAGCGTAGTCCTGTAAAACTTAAATTTTTTATTTTCATAAAAGAAATGTGTTAATCAGACACACATACTGTATGTAAAGGCAGTTTACATTCTGCTAACAAAAAAAATCCACTATCTGAAGCTATTTAACAACTGTGCCAGTTAGGGACAAGGCTACTGAAAGGATTGAAAAAGTCTGTCCCTTAAAGTAAATGAAAAAAAATCTAGGGATGGCAAAAATATAGATACTATCGTTTCAGAATGTATATTATATTATATAGTATATTATATAGTATATATATTATACATTGCTCAATAATTATTTCCACTGGAGTGTGAAAGTTGTAAATGGCCAGCAAACCTAACTAACCAATAATGTGTCAATACAATCACCAAGTACATAGTACACAAAGACTTCAGATATGGAAAACACATTTATTTTTTTAGACAGGTTTCCTTATACTTTCTCCATATTTGTATGGGACTATTAATGACATAAAACAAATCATTTAACAAACCATGAGCAGAGAGGAGATGAGCAGGACTAAGGCTTCATTTAATTTAATAGAAGTTCCCCTCTACTCTCATTCACAAAGTTATCTTTCTATTCTTTCAGCTCTCAATTGTTCTTTGCTAAGTCTTTATGCATTTCCCACAACATACTCATGAAATGTAACTAACATTCTTGGCTTCTTCAAAAGTAGACATCCTAGGGATTCCCTTTAGGACTGCATGAATGTAAACTTGGTCCTTGTTTATGTGTTTTCCCTTTTCATAATTCATTTTATTGCAGCTAAACCCATGAACTTTCTGGGGCAAAGATTTTTTCAGAAGACATTTGGTTTATAGCAAGTGCTACAAAGCGAAGAAAATAAATTAACTCTCCCTCAGCAAC